TTAATATTTTTCAACTGCCAACAAATAAAATTTTATTGATATTTCTAGAAAAAAAACTAAAAAAAAAATGAAAAATGAAAATGTCCCTAAACAGTTCAAAATAAATCAAAATATTTTGAAAATTTTATCGTGTATAGAAAATGCAAATATAAACAACCAGTGAAAATTTCATGTATCTAAGGTCATTTGTTTTAAAGTTACACCAAAAACCAAATTCAATTTTCTGAAAAATCGATTTTGCGTAAAAATTCCCGTTTTTCCTTAATTTTTCTTGGCGCTTTTGAAAAGTACAGGGAATTTTAAAATTTGACCTCCCCAATGCACCAACGATATTCACTTTCCAATCGAACAAGGTACTGAAGTCGAAAATCGAAGCATTATTTTGACTACTTATCGTGTACACAGACACAAAAATAAAAAATAAATATAAAAACACACATCATTGTAAAATCAATACATTCATCGTTCCACTCAGAATCTAAAAGTTAAAAAGAATGTAGGAAAACCTTTAGAAAATAAAAATTATTACAGTAACCGGGAAAATATAAATATTATTAACGAAAGTAAAAACTAATGTATTAATGTATTATATTATACAAATCGCAAATGTATTTTGAACAAAATTAAAACGGTAATAAGAAAATTAATAACTAGGCAGCATACTGTTGAGCCAGCATATCTATTATTTATTATAACTATAAATATCTATAACTTGTTAGTATACGTTTGTTTATAATGAGTTTGTGAATTGTGGCCAATACCAAGTAGGTAGGTATAGCTCAGAGCTCTCCACCAAGGCTACCATAAGGGCGTATTACGTCCATAGTAAATCTAGTATTAAAAAGAAAAAATACTTAACAAGAAATTAACGATCTCGAGTCTTTCTGTTTAAAGCTATTCTAATTCTTTTTCAAATCAGTCAGAGTTAAAAAGTACCTATCACTGAAAGAAAAATCCTGATCATATTAAAAAAAAACTAGGTTGGTTTGACAATTATCTTGTTGCTATTTAGCCGACAAGATTTTTGTCAAACCAACCTATGTGAAATTGTAATTATGATAAGATGATAATAAAAAATTATTCTAGTTATATTGACAATAATTCTTATTTGTTTGACAATATAATCTTGTTGCTTTTTGACAAGATTCTTATCAAATCAACAGGATATTCTACTGTTGTTATGATAATTTTCTATTTATAATTATTGATAAACTAATTATCAATATAACAATGCATATTGTCAATACTAAATGAGACGATAAGCCCCACCCCCTCGGTAGGGAGGTGAACAAAAATGTTTTTACATACTTACTTTGTTTGTCTGAGTTAGGTTGATACAAAACATTTTAAAAAGTTCAAAGTTAATAGTTTAAGTTACCTTAATTTTTTTTTAACTCAGTTAAGTTAAAAGTTATATGAAAACTTACAATTACCTAATCAACTTAGAATTAATATTTTTAAATTTTTTTTTTATACATAAAAAGCCAGCTAGATATGGTTTAAAATAATAAAAACTAAATTTGGATTTGATTAAAAGTAACTCGTTATTTATTAAGTTTATATCATTAAAAATCAGTTAAATTCAATTTCAGTTAAGTAAAAATTAGTTAATGAAAATTAAATTTTAAAGAGTTATGTTAAAAAGTTAAAATTAACTTTACTTTAACTTTTTAACTCCTTAATGCCCAGGCTTAATGTCTATATTACCTGCGTTAATTAGAAACCTACTTTAAAAACCAAAAGTATTTGAGAAGTATTCCAAATAGTTTTTTTAAGTATTTGAGTACCTAGTATTTGAAATACTATACAATTAAAGTATTTGAGTAGTAATAATTTCATTATAATTTCTTATAAATACAATAAAGATACAAAATATTAAATATAAAAAGATGAAAAATAAAATAATCAACATTCCTTTTACATATAAATGTTTTTTTATTAAAAATAATCAAACATAAGTTAGTTTAGATACATATTCAATAAATGTTAATTTAATTCAGATAATATTTGTGTTAGTTTAGGGTCAGGTATATCATAAATTGAAGAGTAATTAAAAAAATATTTCTGAATAAACAACCATACAACTAATGATGCTGAAGGATATTGTAGATTGAATAATTGAAATATTTTGTAACAAACTTCAATTGCTCTTAAAATTGAATGTACCTTATACTTTACACAATCAAAATAAACTAATATTTCTTTAATATTAAAAACGGTTCCAATAACAAGAATAAACGGTTGAATAGGATTACCCTGTTTTTTAAGTTTTTCGAGGTGAGATTCCATATTTTCCACAGATTCCCCAAACATAATACAACTTTCTTGTGAATCTTTTATAGAGAACTTAATAAGGTTTTTTCTACCTTTGTCATCTTTTGTCACCTTTTTAGATGTTGGTGCAAACATTCCATGTAACAAATACATCAAAGCAGCATTCTTTACATCTATTAAACATAAACATTAGTTTTTAAACATAAATGTAGAATTTATTTATTTATTCTTTTAATAGTAGGTAGCTGAGTATTAAATGTAGTTTTTTTATTGGTGTATGAAATTCCCTACTATCGCCTACCAACCCAAAATTTACTTTTTGTTTCTTCTCTCGCTCTCACTTTACAATAATAAAATTAAAATAAACTTCTTGTACTTACTTTCATTTAAATTGTTGCCAGTTTTTATTTGGTCTAATATTTTAAGACAGCTGGAATCTTTTACTTTTTCCCCTAGAATGTTGTAAATTTTATCAGATTTTTTTTCAAATTCAATGTAAACATTTTGATCAGGAAATAGGGCACTATAGTCAATGTCGATCTGAAACAGGGTTTGAATATGAAGTTTTATTTATAGAATTTTTATTTATATACTGTCCATACTCAGTAGGTATGATTATTTACTACTAGTACAACTACTACTAGTAAATGCAACATATTTTAAGTCTACACTTTAATTCTGACAGCATTATAAAAAGATTATGAAAATTTAATATAAAATATAAATGTTTTATTCAGTACTCTGCATGTTTAAATTATAACATTTCAAAATATTTAGGTAGCTATATATTATGCATAATTTTGTTAGGTATTCATCTATCAATATTTATAATTATAATTTATAGTATTTTATTTATAATATACTTATTACTTACTAGTTTGTGTCCATATGGAATCAAATACTGTTTCCAATTTTTTAAAATCTCTTCTGTCGATGTTGATTTTTTTATATCATTTAACCGGTAATTAACCGTTGATTTCCAATTCTCCTCTAAATCAGGATATGAAGTTGTGTTATATTTTAAAACATCTAATATTGAATCTATGTTTTTTTCTGATGCTGAAAACAATAGTCATTAAAATGTAAATTATATAAAAATATAAAAAAGTAACTTTATTACTAAAATCTCTTTCCGTCCAAATGTTTCCATATCTTGATTTATTGATTTCTTGCACGATTTTAACGGTTTTGACTGCAGGGGAAACTAGCCCATTATTTTTTAGAGTTCTCATGGCATTATAGAACTTGGCGTAAAGCTTTCCCTTAGGATTTTTATTTGATCCCACTTTCAAAAAATACACATCCTAAAAGTGATAGATTAATTACAATTATTTAATTTCAGTACATCAAAGGAAATGATATATTTGTTGACTAATGTCTGATCTAACTAATGTCTCATTATGACATCCATTGTTTTTCAATATATAAACTGTATGGGTTGCATTTTTTCAATTTTAAAATTAGTGACAATTAATTTTTAGTAAGTTAATTATTAAAATACTAATGTAAGGTTCATGATTGTTTTTCATATGAAAAATGATTCAGATAAAATAATTAGATATAATTAATTTAATTTAAATAAAATATGTATAGCAATTTAAAATGTATAAATTATTATAATGTTACCATATTACCTTTTTTCAATTTAATTAATCAAATAATCTCAATAATTCTATAAATAATAAATACCTACATTATACAGATATATTGTTAATATATATAAATCATATATTGTTAAACATAACTACTTTTTTACCTTTATTTCTGTGGAGAACATGGCAACAATTTGATTCGACAACGATTCTGCTACATTAACTGACATTGGTATATTATTGCTAATAATATATCCAATTACAATGTCTACTAATGTAGTCCTTATCCCATCATTAAATTTGTTATTTTGCTTATAATACTCTAGTATTAAATGACCCTGTGGAGAGGAATTCAATATTTCATCTATCTTTGTTTTACAAGGTAATTTTGACTGCATTGATGATGATTTTTCTGATGTTAGTTGTACATTTTGTATCCCTTGGTTTGAATTATTCTTTAAAGAAATATAATTCCCATCTTTTTGCCATTCTTCAAGCTCATGGCGAAATAAAATGTAGATTCCTAATGGAAATTTTTCTAGCAACTTATAAACATCCTCTGCCTTCATGTAAGTCAGAACTTTTAAATCAATTAAATTATCTAAACAATAAGTGATAATTGAATAAAGGTAGAGAAAAAAATAGAGGATTAAATACTTAATTATGTTAATCCTTACCAATGCACGTTTGATAAACACACCCCATATTCCATTTATCCAATAAATTTTTTAATATTATCAAATCCTCAGTAGGGTATTTATATCCTTCAACTACTGGAATATCAACACTTATCAAATTGTCATTACTTTGAAAATAATCAATTGTCTGTTGAATATTAGTTACATCACTTACATCCTATAATAAATGAGTAAAATTTAAGTACTTAAATGTTTAAATTAAGTGTAAAAAGTAAATTAACTTACAAAACTAATTGATTCTGTGGTAAAATCTTCTATAGATGGGTCAAATTCATTACTACTGTGTGCCATTATTTCTGAAAATGAATACTACATAGGTACTATTATATTACTATCTAATTACAATAAATTCTTAAATAAAAATTAAAAATACATTACAAAATTATAAATCTTAAGGGTTTGATATATACATTTTTGGTACCTAATTAAAATAATTTTAATAAAACTCTTTTAATCTAAGCATTTTTTTACCATTTGCCACATTTGTAATATTTATGGGTGGGCCACTGAAATCATATGTGCTATAAATAGAAAAATTACTTAGTTCATTTGTATTTTCATTTATTACAAAGGATTCATAATGAGGATCAAATTTTTCAAACAATATTTGTTCCCCTAAAATTAAAACTGTATCATCATTATTTTCAATTACAATTATTTCAGTTATTTAAACAGTTTTATTTCATTTAAAAATTTGCTTAAATAATAACCTTCTTTAAAAACAATCCCATTAAACTCTAAGTAATTGTAACAAGAATACTTAGATGGAGATAAATTCAATGTCTTACTAATCAACTCTATATGTTTAGTTTGTATTTTATGTTTTTCTTTTGATATAATTTTTAACAATGTGGGTTGTAATAACAGATGGGCAAATTTTAATTGAAATTTATTAGCTAGTGTTAAGGTAATATTTTTTCAGGATGTTGTTGATCTGGCATACATTTTCATTTCTTTATGTTTTCCCTCAAATCGAAAACACCAATACAATCGAGGAGGACCTGAATATTCTATAACAGTTGGGTAATGAACTAAGAAATGATGTTTTGGTTTTAGGGTGTCATTAAAAAGTAGATTATATTGATTGTTATGTTTTGATATTAATTGTTTAAGATAACTAATTGCATCTGCATTAAAAGTGTATGATAACAAAATATCAACAATTTTGAGTAATATTAAAAAAAATGACCAAACTTCATCATTTTCTGGCACTAAATCTCCTACCATAAGAGGAAAAAAATGTATAAATGTCATTACTTCCCTAGCAGACATCTTCAAACGACAATTATTCAAATGATTAATTGAAATTTCGGGAGAAATATTACCAAACTCTATTGGGCCATAGTTAAAATTTGATTTTCGTTTATTCAATGTTTCTAAAGTAAATAGTTTAGCTGTGTTGATAAAATATTTAATTATATGACACATATCATAATGACAAACACCCTCATACAAATCATGCATAGTATCCACACAAAAATTTTGAGTCACATGAAAACTTTGGATTTGATTTAATATTGATTCTTTGTAAATTCCTGTTTCAGAAAAGTTTTGGATATCAATGTCTATATTATAATTTATAATTATCAATATTTCGCATACAACTAATGTCTTCTTCACACATTTGTTTTGACCTTAATTTATCGACTTTACAAAAACGACAAAAGTAATTCGCAGAAAAAGACTTACTAAATTCTAAAATACTATTCATACCTAAATTATCACCAAGTACTATACCTAGAATAAAGTGAACATGGAAACTACCACATTCAGTAACTATATCCAAGCCATCATTTTCTAACAAGTTAATTTCACAAATTAAAGTTTGCAAACAGAGATCATTTCCAAATTCTTTTAAGTCTAAAGATTTAATAAGAGCGGCTAAAAAAATATTTGATAGCTTTGAACTATTCTCTGCAAGAGGAAAGCTGTAATAAATTGCTGAAATTTGTTGGTGCATAGCATGTGAACCTAAGGGATTATTGATTTCAGCGTCATCAATATAAAGAAAATATGGAATTAGTATTTTGTCACTACTATGATGAGACATTTTCTGTTTCCAAAGTTTACCTTGTACAAAATTAGTTATGTTATTGTCATTACTCAGTTGTAATCTTTTAAGTCTATTTAATTGATTTTTAAAATTGTCAGAATGCTCAAAATATTTTTTAAACTGGAGTTTTAATGGTAATAGAGCACCCTTTGTTTGTTTTTCATCATACACAGTCTCACCCAGGTGTTGAACAGGACAAATTTCATTATGAATAGTAAATTGTTTTACTACAGATATAAGATCATTTGCAGCTAACCATTTTAACAAAATGTATTCTGAAGTACAAAATTGAAAAGGGTTGGACATAGCTGTTAGAATATTATCAAATTTTGACAAAGATAATGGTTCTTTAACTTCAGTTTTAACAACATTTTTCAGTATAGAGACCATTGGTGTCAGTAAACTTTGTATTATACCAGATTGAATATTGTTGACATCTTTTTTGGTAAAATTATTATTATTGTGTAAACCAACAATAAATTCTACAGCAGATTTATAAAGAGAATTAATAGCTACATCAATAATAAATTGTTCTTCGACCATAGGGGTAGTACTTGCAACTTGGTACTGCAAGGAAGGAGGTTCAATGATACTTGTATCTAAAGGTAATGACGGAGATTCAAAGTGTGATGAGTTGTTAGGTTCTATTTCATGAGAAGTATGTTTAATACTCATATGTCTTTTAAAAGACCCTAAACACTGAAATGTTTGAGTACAGTTTTCTTCGACACATTTATAAGTACTATCAGATTTAAGAAAATGAAAAATTTTAAAATGAGTAACCAATGCTTTCCAATTGTGAATATTTGCTTGACACATATAACAAATCATTTTATTTCATATAATTTAAATACTTAGGTACTTACCTTATGGTTTGAAAGTTTATATAATATGTTCACTGCACTAACAACTTGAAAACTAATATAAACAATATAATAACTGCACAAAAATAAGTAGGTATACGCAAGTTGCAACGACCAAATAATAACAATTATTCTTCTGTAGCTATCCACGCGCACCGCTGCAATGTATAATCTGGTTTTATATTAATATTGTTATGTTAACAATTTATTGTCACGATGAAAAGATTGTTGTTGCTTGTGAAAAAACCAGACTATATATAGTTTATTAATAGACTCGAAACCTTAATTCATACATTTAATTTTTATCAGATTTTAATTGTTGTTTTAACAGTACATTGTTAATTTAATAAATATTAAATTAATAATTTTGATAATATTGTTATTAATTGAACAATTATTTTTGTTACGGTGAAAGAATGTTGTCGAGGTGATAATTTAAGGATTGTCAACCGCTAACAATACCATCTTGTTAATAATACTAATGGTTTTTCTTTCAGTGAGGTACTCAACTGAATAAAAATAATTGTAATGGCATTAATGATTAGGGTGTAGACGTGTAGTTGACATAAGACAGGTAGACCTGCACGTTGTCCAGAAGTCTAAAATAGCAGTAATTTAAATAAATATAATTTAGTGGACCAAAAATTATACAGTAGTAAGGTCTATGCTGGAAACAAACCTTCATATCATTTGAACTAGAGATCTGTTATGGAAAATTAACGTAGCGACAAAATTGAATAATTCACTGAATACAACAACTAGATATACAACAATTTATGTAGCTGATGAAAAAGACAAATACTAAGAGATGGCGCCACAATCGATCGTTGAATTTTCATAACAGGTGTGGATCTTTTTATAAACTTTGCACCATTGTTCGTACTTCGTTTGAACTGACCACTTTCCTGTAGAGATGTGCAAAACGGGTCAATTAAACGATCCGGTTCATTCGGATCGGGTCTTCCAAAAGACCCGTTCGTGTGATTCGTTCAATATTATTCGTTCGTTTTTTCAGCAGTGGCAAGTCTAGGGTGGGGGTGCATAGGAACCAACATGACCCGTTCGTGTGATTCGTTCAATATACTGTATTGTTCAATGTACTCTAAATATAATGCATATTATTACTTTTCTATGATAATGCATAACTAAACTAATAATGTGTAATATTTATTCTTTATTATCACGATCGATTCGATTGTTATCACATTCAAGACGTACAGTGTAGGTATTCAGATGTAAAAAAACGAACGATATTTGGCGACCCGAATCAAGTCATTCGGCGATCCGGATCGGTCTCGTTCACTACTTTGACCCGTTCAATGTGATCCGTTCGTTCGCGAACAACACATCTCTACTTTCCTGTACTCACGATGTAGAGAAGATAAGGTGACACCGCTCCCGTATCTTTCAATGGTACAATATTGGCGCAAAAAATCACGGCAGTTTGGTAGTTCAGAATTTAACACCAGAGTACGCCACCCTTCGTTCGAAGGCCGACTTTTATACGAGTCGTAATGGAGATAGATTTAAATTTTATTTAAATGTATTAATTATTGTTGTTCAAATGTCGATAGTCAGCTTGCCAACATAATATATTTTATGTTATATTGTATAGATTATTAAAATAAACTAATGTTTTGGAATCATGTACCAATTATTATGTAAAAATTGTAATAATATTATATGGTATGTAGCCATATCGTATAAATTTATTGATTTAAATAAAATGCATATTTATTTTATGATATTTATATGTTTATTTATTCATTGACACTTATATGTACAAAAATGGAATTAGTAATATCTACGTACAATAAGTATGGATAAGGACGAGTTTAAACTGTTAATAAAAACTCAAAATATATAGGTACTACTACCGTCTACCAGCTACTGACCCAAGTACACCTAAATAAAAATCATAATTATAGGTACCCATATGATATTGATATATAATAACAAAAAAAAAATTAAATATTAAGCAATGATGTAGAGAAAATATAATATTTACAATAGAGAATAGAATATATTATCAGTTAAAATAATAATATAAACCTAATATAAGTAGTATAAGTAATTGATAATATTCTATTTTTAATTTTAATTTACATAATTGTTTGTATTTACACAAGTCTTAAGAGTTAAGACTCCCTTAATGGTCTGTGCCCTGTGGATTGTTTAATAATATTTCGTATATACTTTCTTATTTTGTTAAAAAATGCCAAACAAATGTTTTGTGCCAGGATGCAAAACTGGCTATGCCAGTTACAACAAAAAGTTAAAAGTAGAAAATAAAAAACCACCTATTTTATTTCGTGCACCAAAGGTGAGTCATAATTTTTAAATACCTACTATAGAGATTTATTTGAGGGAAACATTTGTATAATTTTCTTTACCACCTAAGTACCTCTAAAAGGGCATTATTAATGATACATATTTGTATGTGTTTAATAAAGTAAACTATTTATACAATTTTAATAAATTATAATTTCAGATCAAAATATAGCTTAATTGCAAACCTAATTTTGTTCTATTAAAATATGTAGTAAATATAATTATATAATTATATTATAATATAAATATCCTGAATTCTCTATATTATAAAATAGATAAATTCTGACCTAAAAAAAAAAGTGTACACTGTGCACTATGGAATAAAAATAACTAAGTTGATTTTATACATAATATTTACAAAGCACCATAGTTAAAATAGTAAAAAAGATAAATGATTAATATATAGAAATGAAAATCATCAAAAAAAAATTACATTGAAGTTATAAAAATATTTCATTTTACTTTAGGATAATCAATCTCTGGAAGTTTGGAACAAACATATTCCCCGTGATGATAAATTATTAAGTGAAAAAGATTATGTTTGTGAATTACACTTTGAGGCCACTAGTATTATTAAATATGATGAGTTCAATATTACTGAAGGAGTTGTAGAAAAACTAGAAAGGACTACTCCAATGTTAAAAACAGATGCAGTTCCTACAATTTTTCCAGGTCTTCCGAAATATTTAACTACAACAATAAAAAAACGTCCAGCACCAAAATTACGTTTGATAAATCCTATAAAAAAAGAAAAGATTGATGAGAATATTGTGTTAGATTATGAAGAGAAAAGTGAAACTGAATATAACATTAGAATTCTGCACCAAGAGGCCTCAACTATTCCTCTTCCTGGAACCATGTGGGGGATTCACACTTCTCCAGGAAAAACTATACTTGCTCATTTAAATTTGAAATTAGAATGTGATAAAACTATAGTATTTACTGACAATTGTATACCTATAGTACATATTTCAAAAAAGCTAGTTGAATTTCCAGAAATAAAATGTAATTTAGATCTCCAAAAACTTGTACGAACAATTGATGAATTAATTCCTTGCACTGGATATACTGAGAACGGCTTTCTATCTTCTGAATGTATTGGTTATGTAAAACAAGATCTGTCATTAGCAAAAAATTCTAAAAGAAAGATAAGGTGTATTAATTGTAGCGAATTAAGAAGAAAAAACCAACGAAAATATAAAAAAAAACCAAGAGTCAAAGTTATTGCTTCTAAACTAAAAATTAAAAGTGACCTACATAGAAAACTTTGTAGAAAAGTTAGTATGATTTGTATAAAATATAAATTAATAAATGTATACCTGTTAGTAAGATGTTTGTTAATTATTATTTTATAGGTTCTTTCTTTAAAACAACAACTCAATTTAATTCTAAAAAAGTATGATGACCTTACTCAAACACAATTATCGTCATATACAGAAAAACTACCTGAAAAACAAAAAGAAGCTATTAATGCATGTTTTAACGCAGCAAACTGTAAATCATCAAATGGCCGACGTTACACAACAACATGGGTATATGAATGTTTACTTATGGGAATCAAATCACCAAAGTTATATCGTAAAATGCGCAGGGATAACATTCTACCTTTACCATCTTACACCACTTTACAGAGATATATTAAAAAACTCCGTCCTGTATATGGTTTTTCTGATGCAACTATTAAAATGATGGGATTAAAAGTCAAAGAAATGACTGAAATGGAAAAACATGGTATTGTTTAAAAATATTATAGGTTTTTATTTTTTTTTTAATATTTTATTTCCTATGATACCTAGGATGTTTGCTTATAGATGAAATGAAGCTATCAGAAGCACTTTCATTTAAAAAATCTAGTCTACAGGTTGAAGGATTTGTAGACCTTGGAGAATATTCCACAGAGAAAGATCAGGACAAGCTTGGAGACCATGCACTTGTCATATTATTTCAGCCATTTTGTGGAAAATGGTTCCAACCTATTGGTGCTTTTTTGGGGGCAGGTGCTGTTCCTGGAACAACCTTGGAAAAAATTATAATGGAGGCAGTAATAATGCTTGAAAATCAAGGTATCCATGTAGATTGTGTTACTACAGATGGTGCAACTTGGAACCGCAGTATGTGGAAACTTTTTGGTATAGGTCAGAAATCTTCTAGCTGTATACATCCATCAGATTCTAAGAGACAACTATGGTTTGCTTCAGATTTTCCACACCTCATAAAAAATTTAAAATCTAGAATAATTAACAACAAAGTATTAGATGTAAGTTATAAAAGACAAGAATTCATTTTATTTTTAATTACATTGTAGTTTAGTTATTAATTATTAAGTTATTATAAAACTAAAATAAATAAATTATTATTAGGTATATAATAGATTATAGGTAGGTATATAGAATTTTTCAATTCATTTTTTAGCCTTTTTATATTTGTTTTTTTTTTAAGACTCCAGAAGGTACAGTTGATGTTTCTCATTGGAAATCAATA